TGAGAAAGGAAATTTGGAAAACATTCTTTTTGAGAAGCTTAATGCAGCCCTGAAACAGTCTACTCAGAGGGGGAATCTCCATCCTTGGAGTTCTTTCAATACTTCGTTACACAAAGCTGTGATTGACTTGGTCTAGTGTTGGCTGTAGTCATGCTTAGAGTAGGTGGTTGGCCTAGATGACCTGAAGAGATCTCTTCCAACCAGCATGTCTGTGATTCTGTGATCTCTCTTCCCTACTTCAAAGTGATGTTGCATTTGTTAAAAACTGCATATGTTATGGACAAGAATTGACTATAAATTCAGCAGGCATTTTTCTTAAAGTCCATCCCAAGATCTGTGTGGATCTTTTAGTATTGCTAAGATACAATTGACAATATTGGCTAAAAAAAACCAAAAACAGTAGGATTGGTAATTTTTATGCTAAATATGAACACTTGCCATATAGTATGGTTGTAAAGGTTAAGTGCTTTAATATGCATATGAACTAGAGGAAACCAATCTCAACCTAACTATCTCTGTTCTTTTTTCCAGAAATCTGTACAGTGGTCTCTGCCTTACATTGTGTTTGGAGCGACTGGTCTTTTGTCTGGGCTCTTAAGTTTATTGTTGCCAGAGACCTTAAACAGTCCTTTGCTAGAAACTATTTCAGACCTGCAGGTATGCTCGTACTGGAGGCTGGGTGATGAAGCCATGTCATTGCAAGCCCTAGATGGCTCACAGGTATATTCATTTTTTTCCTAGTACTTTTCTGTTGTGTTTATTTCAGCTGTCAGCTTGAATATGCCACTCTAAATAGATTAGGGTAGTGATTCTTGGCCTGTGGAGGATAGGCCCCAAGGAGATACAGAAGATAGTTTAGTAACTTTACCATCATGTCTGAAATGTTGTCTGGAAATGCAGGCTGAAACATGGCTGGGTTAATTCATCCCTTCAAAGCCAAAAACTTCCAATCTTTTCCTTTGGGATAAAGGACTTGGTGTCTGTGCCTCTCTGATCTCTAAGATGGATTGCTGCAGTATGCTTCATGCAAAGTTGCTTTATGCATTGAAGTTTGAGAAGCCTTAGATGTTAAAGAAAACAGAAGCCTGTTTGTGAAGGGCTGTTCTCAAAGGCAGCACACTGTACTTCTGCCCTGACCTGCACTGCCTGTTCTGCAATGTCAATTTGTTAGGTCTATCCTAGAGAGTCTTGAAATGGATTAAAGCTAGACTAACCTCTGAGATCTGTCCCACTGTTGATTCTGGGAAATGAGATTTGTTGAAAACGCTGGAACTACAAAACTCCCAGGCATAAGCATAAATAAATGTTCGCAGCAGGATGTTTTACAGTGAGGTTTCCTTCAATGTTGTTTTTCATATCACTTCATACTACATTTTGTCAAACTCCTGGACACCTCTTGAGGTGTGTACATCTTCCAGTCGTGTGGAGGGTTTTTTACATGGCTGCTGCTCTGTGAATGGAGTAGAGAAGTAGCTAGAGAGCTCAAAGTGGGTGTTTGAATTTGGGTAAGGTTTTAATGCTTAAATCCTGGTCCCAAACTTTTAAGTATCGATGGACTAATAAAAATTGAGTAAGTGCTCAGACTTGAAGGGCAACTCATAATAAAAACTGTTAGTTGTCCCATTAGGCTGAGATGAGAGAGGATCTTATAACACCTTTTACTTTCCTTTGATTAATTTTTGGTCAAGCAGTCTGAGATTCACAGGTAGTCATAAAATTGTTTTCACAGGAATTATGAAAGAGGCAGCCCTGTAACAATTAATACTTTAGCTATTTTACATGCACCTTTTATAAATATTTTTAACCGTACTGGAGAATGTGTTATGGCACCACATTCTTGCTGGCTACAGAAATCCATCATATGTTATTTTGGTAATTACATCATTATTACATCTTACCTGTGCAGATGGCTTACTAACAAAAAATTTTAGCAAACAGTGCAGGGATTACAACTTAGAGGGGGAAAAGTCACATTTTATTCTCCTTTCTATCCAAGTAATGTCAGTATTGCCCTTTGGGGTGGTAAGTATTGTCTGTCTATCAGTATTTGCACAACTTGGTTCACTTATGTCAAGCAGTCTTCTCCGGTTTAAATCTTCCCTGCTTGCACTTCTGCAGGCTTAAAAATCCCAATCTGAACAGGATCCACAAAAGAAAAATTAATGTTCTTCAGGAACACTTTTCCCCAGATGGATTAAAATTATTGAATCCAAATGAAAGAAGTCATTGGTTCAGGCCTGAAGTAATCCTGTAACTTCAGTGAAGTTATATCTGGAATGTCACATTAGGGGTTTATTGTAAAGCTCTCAAAGTGCTGATAAAATGGAAAGCTGTTAAACATGAACCCTATTTGACAAGGCCATGGAAAGGTCTTATGAAGCTGCTGTAAGAAAGATGTAGAATTTATTTGGCATACCCAGAATTCCCCCTGTGGAATCCATTGTCCTTTTGTACCACTTCCAGGATAACACGTGTTCTAGTTGCCAGAACGGAGGTTTTGTCCCTGTTAACATACATGAATGTGATATTGAAGTGGGACAGCATCCAGTGATAGCCTGACTTTCCTCAAAATTTTAGAAATCCAGAAAAAAAGCATAACATGATTCCCTTTATATCTTCTGACAGGTCTTAGTGCTCAAACTATTTGAAATTCCTTTGCAGTTAGCGCACATTGCTGTAGCAAAACTCCTCTGAAGACAGATATAAAGCTACAGATTTTGCTTGTATGGTACTGTCAGTCAGAGCGCGATTTCCATTTCTCTATTTTTCACCCTCTCTCTCACCCTTCTTCGCATATGACTAGGCAGGCAGAAGTCTTAGGGTGGATGCAAGCGTACTGGAAAAAAAAAAATCCTAAATACTCAAACTAGATGGAGTTTATGCTAGCAAGAGAATCTTTTTAACTGGAATAGTTGTATCAGTTCCATGGAAGAATGCTACACTGGCCAAATAAAAATCAATTAGCTGTAATAGCTGACTCTGGTTTGGGTCTATGATATAAATTTTGTTGTTAAAAGGACTGGCTGGAGTAGGTATACCTGTAATAGGGAGTTTACTTTCTGAACATAGGAAGTGGCACTGTTCTTTTTCCCTTTTCCATAACACCTTTAGTTAGTATTGCAGGGGGATCTTTTTAATTAAAAACTTGCGTAGGAAAATGCCCATGCTATGCATGGAGAAGTAATAATTCAGGATGCAGAAGCTTTTACCTAATCAAGTAATCTGTGTTCTGAGCCTCTGTTTCCAGTAGCTCACCACAGAGTAGGGACCTCAGACTTAATTTAAGAAAGCTGAGTAGATTATCACTTCAGAACCATTCTAGCTGGTCTCTCTCCTGCATGTATTCTCTAGTGTACTGATGGAGCAAAGAAAGTCCATCCACTAGAAGCCCCTCTCTCAAGGATTTTTGAAGAACCACCAAGGACACAAAGAAGTATTAATTCACATAATGTCTTTCACAAAGTTTTAATACAGTGATTTGACCTGTTTCTTCTTACTTTTTCTCTATCAGCATTCCAACAGAGGTGTAATGGTTCATGCCTACGTATTTCGAGATTTGATTTAATGGCATCTGCACTAACCAATGACTTCATTTTTGTTTCTAGTCTGGAGACAAAGACAGTTCTGCAGGGAGTGGAAGTGAAGATGAGGAGTTTTATGATGCTGATGAAGAGACTCATATGATCAAGTAATGAAAAGAAGAAACACCGGCCTATTTTATGCCTTTTCTTACTTGTCCAGTCAGTCCAGCTGTACGACGAGTATTGGGGACCTTGCCTGGGGACCTTGCCCAATGTAATTGGGCAAGTGCCTGTGTTTTTTTTCCTGACTAGGAGAGGGGTTTGAGTACTGTTCAGACTAATTACACTACTGATGCTCTCCATATGAGACAGCTGTTCAAGTTGTTGTGGTTCAGAACAACAGTACATGGACTGCATTTGAAGCTAGGTGAGACAGCGAGGGTGGGATCATGTATTTCTGAAGCCTAGGAAATTACCTAGGCTTAGACAGATTTGGACAGATCACTAATGCACATGTCTGTGGTTTATTTTCAAGGTAGTTGATTTTGATTCAGTATAAATTGATAAACTTGAAAACATCCACTGGTTTTTTTCTGTAGCATGAAAGTAGTCACAGAACGTGCTCTGTGCTACTCCAATAGAAACAAATTCCTGAAACTGTATGTTAAAATGGCTTCTGCATATTGAATAGGGGAGAGGCAACTGTGAACATAAGGTTTCTCTCTCTGCACACAGACACCTGTATAGAGTTACAGGGTGCGGCTGGTTAGTCATGAGCTGTGCATTAACTTAGTGATAATGGAAGGCCAGGAGGAAGGACTACAGAAAAGAGCAACCATAAAGCTTGCAGACATAAAGGACACTACAGATTTTACAGATTTTTTTTTTCCCCTGATTTTCATCCACTGAGCACTTTCTTGGGCTGTCTTATGCATACATTAGCCACATGTTCCCCACATCTCAGCACTGCTGTTTATAGCTTTGCCTACTTTTACCTTGTCCTCACTTTGCCATAAATATTGAAGCTCAGCAACTTCTGTGCAGTGAAATAATTCTGTGAAGGATATAATTTCATGGGTGGGACATAGGTGAGGTATTTATCACATACTGTGTGTGAGGTATGTGTTAGAATATATAGCTCATTTTTGTGGACCTGTCTGTCTTTATTTCTGGAAGAAACTTAACTCTGAAGTAGTAAGAGGAACTATGGGTTGCTGTTACATTTTGGGGATTATTGCCAGGAAGCTGCTGGTATTTATTTAAAATTCTTGTGTGTAGATAAAGTTCTCATTTAAAAAAAAAAAATAGCAAACCTCTTTGAGACAACATTTGGTTACTTGATATTGTTTCTTAACCAGGTGCTTGCTCAAGCACTTGGTTACTTGACCTTGCTGAGGAGGACAACTTCACTCTCGTGTTTACGCTGAACTTTCTGTAAGTGCTTCACTAGAGGGATATGGAATCTTGAAATACAAAACACTAACATATGAAATGTTCCAACTACAAAGATGAGGCCTTACGAAGATTCAGTTTTCTTGATTATATTGTCATCTTCATCCTCTAACCTGTGGCTTTCTATTTATTAAGATTGACTTCCATAAAATGTTTGTTAGTCTTTATATTTGGTGTTCCTAGCAAAGTGCTACACAATGGCAGCAAGTATATTGTCAGGCTTGCTAGCCATTTTTGTGGATGTTAAACTAAAAAACCTCAAAGCTGCTGAATATTTCCAGGTTAAACTGGGAAGCTCCTTTACTCTGAAAGGAAGTGAAAGTAACCAGCATCTGCAGTTTGCAGCTAGCTGCTTGTACTTTGTTCACTGGGAACTGTAATGCTGAGCAAAGTGTGACTACACTGGCTGGTGCAGAGGGCAGCCCAGAGACTGGAGACTCACGCAGGCAGTACTCCCCCTTGGCCTGAACTTGACTGTGAACAAAGTGGAGAACTTCAGTCCATATGGACAATGTGTCGGTATTGTTGTGATTTTTGCTTGTGTTATGAGCTTTGCTAGAAGAATTCCAGCCTGCAGTCTTTGCTTTATTTTTTCCAGGCTGTTGAATAGTTGTTGTAGATGTGGCAGGGCACTTTTAAACCCAGCTGGATAGTCTTTCTGCCTTATTTGGCCCTTTTGTATGCAAGAAAATTGCTCCAAATAAGGTACTCGGAAATACTTGGAAATGTGGAATCTATTTGTTCAAATATTTTTTTTTAGTTTTGCATTCACATTTTAAATTATGGACAGCTGGAAAAACAACTTTCTGTTTTGTTGCTGATGGCTTCTAAATAAATAAAACCTACTTACTTAGAAGCAAACAGTGGGAAGCCTGGTGGTATTAACATGCTGCCAAGACCCAACAGGTTTTTTTTAGGTGTTTGCTGCCTCTGTCCCTCTTTGGACGGTAGGTGGAGTAAGTCACTTGAGAGGCAGACAGGAACTGTTAGCCTTCCTCCCTCTCTAGTTTTACTGTCGTTATCTGCTTCTGGCAACCCTGGTCATGCCATGGGACACCTCAACATAATTTTTCATTAGAACAGTAGGATGCTGTAATGGTTCAGGTGGAGGAGATCACTCTTTGCAGGACCTGAGCTGGATTTTGTGACAGTCCTCAACTTACTAAATTTGCCTCTCCACTCATGCACTTTGATATCATAAGTATAAATATGTAAAACTGCAAAAACAAGAGCGAAGAAAACATCAGCAATTTTATTCCATAGAAGTTGCTGCTCTTTTTTTTAACCTTAAATCTGTTCCATGTTTGCACCTTCAGAATTTTAAAGGGCAGCATCTTATTTTGTGTCAAGCATAGGAACTCCCTATTGTTATTCCCTGGCCAGTTAATTCAGAAGTTTTATAGGAAAGAATCCCTCCAGCAGGAGCCCAGCAATATAGTATCAGGCTGCTTACAAGTACTTGCTCTCCCCCTTTGTGTTCTGAAGTCCAAATCCGTTATGTGCATTTAGTTTTTTCAGAGAGGTTTGTTTTGTAAGAACTGGCTTTCTGGTACAGAAACCTGTCGGATCATTTTTTGTCTTACCCATAGAGTGTAATGCTTTACGATACTGAGATACTTGCACTGTATGTAGCATTCACTGGGGAGAGATGCTGCACAGTGGTTTGTAGCCTGTGTGGTCAGCATTTTCCATATCTACATGGAGCATTATTGCTAAGCAGAAGTTCTTCAGTTGATCAGTGCCTGCTGTTATGGGTCTCACAACCATGTTACTTGACAGCCCAAATCAGAAGGTGAGAGAGAACACTTTAAAGGTGTATGTATGCAGTCTGCATAGGCCCAATTAATAAATCTGTGTTTGCCCTGAGGAGCTACTGGAGAGCAGAGGCTGATACAGCACTAGATACATCCGTTTATGACACATTGTAATGCCAAAAGTCTGAGACCCAGTATCGTTGCTATAGTTGAGTGAAGTATGGCAACCTTATCCCACATTTTTTGCTAGAGTAGCTTTGTATACTAAGCAGCCTGCACTGTTAACTGGTTCTTGTCTTATGCAGGCACTAGGGTACCTACCCCCAAGATGGGAATTCCTTCCCTGGATTCCTTTGGTTTTGTAGCTGTCACTTTTTTTTTCAGCCAGCTCGCTTAGCGGGATTATGCTAGAGATGAGAGAGGCTTTCCCATGGTGCTGATTAGTCAGATCTTCGTCCTGTCTCAGATGAGGTATGTTTAGGATTCTGCTATCTGGGGACCTCACAAGTGATACTTTAATACAGCTAAGAGTGAAGGAGAGTGACAGGTCATGTGAGACAGCATGGAGGAGAATTAGCTGGAGGGACTTGAAAGAATAGAGGATTCAACAGAAACACTTCAGGGCAAGGGTGAGTGAAAGCACAAGATAATAGCCGTTGGGTGGAAATACCCTTCTTGCTGCTTGTGTTGACTTGAAGCTTCTTTCAGAGCTAGCATTCATTCCAGGTTGTCTGTTGGGGACACCAGTTTCATCATTTCCTTTTTAATGTCAACTTTGTTCAGCACTGCTATTTTAGTGATGAAACATTTCTTTTGATCAATATAAAATGTGGCATGCTTCAGTTTTCTTTTGGACTCAGCTTTTCTATGAAATGGCATGTCACTAAAATCATTAAAGTTTGTAAAACCCTCTTTTGGAGAATGCTGTATAACTGGTCATCGCTTCATTTGCCAGCTTCCCTTTAGAAAGATGGGAAGATTAGAATTTGATGCATTTTTGTCACAGAACTTCTTGTGAAGTGATACTTCAGCCTTCTGAAAGGGTTTTACTACCTAGCTATTTTTGATAGGCTGAAGAGAGTAGAATAGGGAAGTGATTTGACAAGTTTATTTTTTTAAACTGTCGCCTGAAAAAGAAGCTAGTGCTCTCCATTTAGGGATTGGGAAAGTGCTGTTCAGAGACTCCCTGACGCACCAGAACCTTAGAAGCTCCACGATAAAGGAGGGCCGCAGGTGACTCTGTGTACAGGTCAGGGTGCTGAGTGAAGAACTTGTCCACACCTGTCCAGAGACGCCTAATGAACATGGAGCAAGTTGTAGCTAGTTGCCACCTTTGTTACAGTCAAGGCTTTAAGGTTTGCAGCCGTGTGCACTGTGAGCAGAGGAGCATAATCCATGCCAGGGTTTCCAGACTCTATGGATGTACTGAGGTTAGCAGAATATCCTTTGCAGAACCACGGGGAATGCAGTTGAGCTGTACGTTTTCCAGCCTATTTCACCTAAGCATATAAAAACAGTTTGCAAGAGAATATTTGTTGTACTGAGGAAAACGGGGAAAGTGAGGAACAAACTGACTCTTCCTAGAGTGTGTTAATGGAAACATTTGAGCTAAAACTCTTGTTCCTGAGTCTTCTGCACAATCACTGAATGCAGATTTGGTTGGTATTATTTTGTTTTACCTGAAGGATGGTGTGCTATGTATACCTTTTCCCACCCTGTTAGAGCTTCTTTGATCATGCTCTTTGGCACAGCTGAATCTAGGCATCTGTGCATGCAGGTTGTGAGCCTTGCAGTAAATATGTCAGAAAAGCCCAAGAGCAGCACTAGCCACTTGAAGGTGAAAGTTAGTCTGGCCTGATGTACTTAACGCCTGTGTCAGAAATGTCTATGTTCAGCTGTTTACCAAACAGGAGACTTAAGGTATAGCTGTATTTTGAGTCTCATTGCTTGTATCTTACTACAAGATGTATT